CCGTGTGACCCATAGCAGCGTACNTGGCGANAGTGCACNGTGTGGTTCGGGAAGTGGTAAGGTGTATGGGAACTTGAGTGTATGGGAATTGGTAGTGTATGGGGAATTGACAGGTGTATGGGGAATTGGTAGGTGTATGAGGAATTGGTAGGTGTATGGGGAATTGGTAGGTGTACGGGAATTGGTAGGTGTATGGGGAATTGGTAGGTGTATGGGAAATTGGTAGGTGTATGGGGAATTGGTAGGTGTATGGGGAATTGGTAGGTGTATGGGGAATTGGTAGGTGTATGGGAAATTGGGAGGTGTATGGGGAATTGGTAGGGGTATGGGGAATTAGTAGGGTGTACGGGGAATTGGTAGGGGTATGGGGAAGGCGCGTGAGTGGTGGGGAAAGCGCGTGAGTGGTCTATTTCTTGTGATGCGAGAGAAGTGCTTTGGCTGCCACACAGGTAGCCATATGGGGCGCGTACTACAACGGAGATTGGGAGAACATACACATCCGAGCCAGAGGGCACACAGTTGTAAGGAATAGGGGCGGACAACAGAAGCAATACGACAAACACAAAAGGAATCCGCACTTGAACATAGTTGAGCCGCGCGTGTACAGTTGACAGCAGAATATATGCACACAGCCACGTCTTAGCCGACTCACGGTGTCGGTATCGCGAGAATGGCGCTGGTGTATCTGTTGGCCAATGTCTGGGCTAATTGTGGTTTAATGTGAGCATGCTTTTTGGCGGCGTGATTGCCCCGTGTTCACATAGGTAGACAGCCATTGCCATCACACCTCTAAGTGAATACGAAGTGGTTATATCACCCTGGGGTGGATATGGTACGTGTTCATATGCATGGCGGGTTGAAAGTATAATGATATGTAAGTGTAGGGGTGTGTGTGTAATATGTCATATGCATGTGTATTGTGCACGTGTATAGATGTCGGTGTGCACGTGTACATATGTACACTCCACACAAGAATACGAAGGCCAATACATATCCAGCAATGCACAATCTAAATACCACATAGATAGTTCGCCCTCGTGTCGGCTAGGGCTATGCACTCCTTAGCTTAACAGAGACACAGTCATGCCAGCTTAACAGAGACACAGTCATGCCAGCTTAACAGAGACACAGTCATGCCAGCTTAACAGAGACACGTCATGCCAGCTTAACAGAGACACAGTCATGCCAGCTTAACAGAGATACAGTCACGCCAGCTTAACAGAGACACAGTCATGCCAGCTAAACAGAGACACAGTCATGCCAAATATGTTGCCATTTAAAGTCAGGAATATCAATACACACGCCCAAACACTCCCATTTCCTGCATCCGAACGGTCACACACAGGACCCCCATACCCGCTAAAAGTTCGGTGTCTTGGGCCCAGCACACAGGCACGTGCTGCTCTGGCACAGCACTGCTGAGATACTCCGCCCATTCGGCCGAGTTGTTCTGCACATGACTCATCACGTCCCGGAATGGGCGTCCCGCAATTGATTCCTGCAATTGCAGCAAGCACTGGTGCACGCCCTCGGGCAGCTGTGTGGCTCCTGCGGAAAGGTCTGCATCGCCATTCTCGGTGATGGCGGAGGAGGCCTGGGAGTAGGTAGGTATATCCATTATAAGGAAAGCAACGGTTGGATTTAGTATTGTGAAGAACTGTGGCATGCATTGATGGAACGACACACGGATACTGAAGATAATCGCAGATTAATGCTCTACAGCACGGTGTAGGATGGCAATAGATATATACATAAACATACATGCATACATACATATATATATATATATATATATATATACATATATATTTATATATATATATATATTATATATATATATATGCATATATATGCATACAGGCAGTACACATACATACATATATATATACATACTTACATACATACATGCATACATACGTACATACATACATACAAACATACATAGATTATACATACATACATATATATATATACATACATAAATATATGCATACACACACACATACATACATACACAACACACACATACAGATATCCATACATACAGATGACTGTACTAGAATACGTGACCGTGGTACTGACACATAGCTCACCTGCGGCCCTCTCATGAAGTACTCGTACTCTGACGGAGTGATGTCGTCGCCCGTGCCAGAGCCTTCTAGTTTGATCATAGCGAGCAAAAACGCAAACAGATGACGGTCCCGTTGGTGCAATGCCACAGACACGCGTTGGTAGGTGGTGCGGAACAAGTCTCTGTGTAGTGCGAATGGGAGACGGTAAGCCAGTGTAGCAAGGGCATAGACAAGTGTGCGTGTGAGTGGATGAGTGAGTAAGTGGGTGGGTGAGTGAGTGAGTAGGTGTGTGTATGTGTGAGCGATAATGTGTGTGTGTGTGTGTGTGTGTGCGTTCGTGTGAGCAGGTTTGGAGTTAGGCGTGTCTAGTGTATAGTGGACTGCGTGCGAGTTTTCACGCGGTTGGTGTATATAAAAGGGCGCCACTACAGTCTCTCTGCGACCAAAGAACAAGGATAATCACAGGTCTGTATGCGTGATCTGTGCATCTAAGGATGGCTGGATCATACGTACACACCACTTGATAGTATTCAATCGAAGTTCATGTGCGCTTTGTGTGAGGAGATGAACAGCTATGGCTATAACAGCCCACACAGATACAAAGGTGCTGCACGACGGGATCGTGTTTGCTTCAAGCAGCCCTACACCCAAACAGCGAGTACGCCAAAAGGTAGAACATTCAGGAGACAAACACGCACATGCAGCTGAGCAGAAGGCAACTGCATATACCACGGCCCACGGCATACCACACTAACCCCCACTAGCGAATGCACGAATGCACGCACCTCAAGGCGAGGTCATGTGGCCACACACACACATCAATCTACAGTTCATTTAGACTATCCCTTTCATCTGTGTGTCCTAGAGATCTACAGTTCATTTAGACTATCCCCTTCATCTGTATGTCCTAGAGGACTGTGTACGCACCTGTCGATGACCCGCAGACGTTCGTTGCGGTCCTTGAGTGCGCTCAGATTGGCGTTATGGTGCAGCACGTGCGCAAAGATGTCCAGGAAAAAGTCCAGCGAAAACTGGTACAGGAAGTGCACATGCGTCAACTGCTCCAGCGAGAAGTACACGGCGCTTGACGCAGCTGCCAGGCTGTGGTATTGGCTGCGAACACTCTCCACCTCTGCCGTAACAACGTCCGTCTCCGCAAACTGGATGGCACAGGAATGGGGGCAGGCGTGTGGGAGGGGAGAGTGCGGATGGGGTGGACAGTGTGTCACGGTTAGAAAGAACGCGTTGGCTTGGATGTATGTGTGTTTAGGTTGGGGATGTCTGTGTGTTTGTCTTATGTATGTATGTGTAGGTTGGGGTTGTCTGTGTGGTTGTCTAATGTATGTGGGTTGTCTTATGTATGCGTGTGTAGGTTGGAGATGTATGTGTGTTTGTCTTATGTATGTTTGTGTAGGTTGGGATTGTCTGTATCTTTGTCTTATGTATGTGCGTGTAGGTTGGGGTTGTTTGTGTATGTGACACATGGGGGTATGAGCATGTATATCAGGTGACTATCAGAAAGGGAGTACAAGAACATGTTCGTGTGAGAGGAATGGGAGGGCAGTACACGTCCTTGTGTTGGCGCGCGACGAACCGTAAATCAGCTCATCCGTGAACACACACACATACGATACAGTCAATTCAAACAGTCCGTACTCTCTGCACCTCTCTAGTCACTACACGCCCTCAAGCTCATCCGTGAACACACACACATACGATACAGTCAATTCAAACAGTCCGTACTCTCTGCACCTCTCTAGTCACTACACGCCCTCAAGAGAAGTTACATCTACGGCGGTCAAAGGTTCAACTCGCACAGCCAGACATGGGCAAACGCACAGATGAAAGACAGTGCATGGCATGAAGTGTCCGTAGCTCATTGTTACACACCTTCTGGTTGATGTCGGCTGCCTCTCGCTTGAGACTCTCCAGTGTTGTGATGACACTATCGTCGTCCAGGATCTTGCCCTTGGAAGTGTTGAGCGACTGCGTCAGGAAGCAAAGGACGTACGAGATGAGGGACTAAAGCCCTAAAACCCTAGAAACTAAAATCGGTTAATTAAGCACAAACATCAACCTATGCCAAGCCGTATGCACCTGCTCAACATACACAACCGGACACCAGCAAAGACGCGCATTTATTAATAGAAATGTACACATGCCGATCACATCCACACACACATCCACACACACATGCAGGTACACACACGCACACGCACACACACAGACACAGACACAGACACAGACACAGACACACACATAGACGCAGACACATACATAGACGTACACACACACATGCAAGCACGCGCACCTCGAGCAAGGCCTTTTCCAAGTGCCTGAGACGGCGTCTGAAGTCGCCCTGCAGCGTCAGCAGATCAATGCGTTTCTGGTCGACGTCTGGGCGTTCGCTCTTGAGTACGGCATTCAGACATTGACTCTGCAGCGACGCGCGCGTGATGGTGAAGTTGACGAACGTCACACGGCTGCACACGTCCGGGGCAAAGTGCACTGTGGGGTTGCGAGTGCACAGAATGATGCTGAAGGCCGGGCTGAAGTCGATCTCCTGATCGCCGATTTTGATTAGGACTCTGCGGGGGATGGGACGAGGTAGGTAGGCATAAGGGAAGAGGTAGGTAGGCATAAGGACGAAAACACACTTATCAGACTTATTCAACCATGACAACACAACTATAAGACTAACCCAACCATGACTACACCTCACCTCACCCACCAACCCGCTCGTGCGTATGGTTCACACAACATCCATTCCTACGATCGTATACCTGCCACCGTTGCGGTACAGCTCTCTGTTTAGCACTGGATTGAGGATGGGGTCGAAGTTTTCGGCGTCGTGCACGAGCAGTGTGTTGCCAAAGCGAAGGGCACTCTCCAAGTTCTTGCGGAAGGCGTTGTCCAGGAAGGACGTCACAATCATCTGCAACCAGCGCCATGGCAAGGCAAAGTGTCAAAGGGTCAATGAGATGTGTCAAAGTATCAATGAGATGTGTCAAAGTGTCAATGCGATGTGTCAATGCGATGTGTCAATGCGATGCGTCAAAGTGTGAACGAGAGCTGCAAGTGTCTCGAAGGAACTTAGATATAGACCAGAATGGCTGGATTTAGATATTTGTGCATTGCCTATCATACATACAACGCAGGCTACACCGACTGGCCTATAGTCGCATCCAATCTAATCCAACAGACACACACACACCTCCTTGTCCTGGTGTAAACCACACACACACACACACCTTCTTGTCCTGGTGTAAAACACACACACACACACACACACACACACACACACACCTTCTTGTCCTGGTGTAGCTTCGTCAGGAAGTTGGCTGCTTGGCCACTGGGGTCGATGGTCAGCGGATAGCGTTTGAAGCGGTGCAGCATGATGGCATTCTCTGAGCACAGGTCATCCACAGGCAGTCCACACGCCTGAGGCAAAGCACGTGGGTGAGTGAGTGGGTGAGTGTGTGTGTGAGAGAGAGAGAGAGAGAAAGCCGGAAGAACTTTGGTTCAAACAGCAAAAAAAAACTTGTATAAGAATCAAATACCAAACAGGTACAATAGGTGACTTGTATATCTGGAAATGTATATGTCTAAGTAAAAGTATGGATAGTTAGACATGTATATGTATAAATAAAAGTATAGATAGCTAGACATGTATATGTCTAAGTAAAAGTATAGATAGTTAGACATGTATATGTATAAATAAAAGTATAGATAGTTAGACACGTATATGTATAAGTAAAAGTATGGATAGTTAGACACGTATGTGTATAAGTAAAAGTATGGATAGTTAGACATGCATATTTTCAAATAAAAGTATAGATAGTTGGACATGTATATTTTCAAATAAAAGTATAGATAGTTAGACATGTATATGTATAAATAAAAGTATAGAGTTAGACATGTATATGTATAAATAAAAGTATAGATGATTAGACATGTATATGTATAAATAAAAGTATAGATAGCTAGACATGTATATGTATAAATAAAAGTTGAGATAAATGGGCATGTATATATGAAAATATGGAAGTATCGAAAAGTGAAGTACCTGCCAGTGCAGCCTCTCATCAGCGGTTGAGAGGTACTCAGACAGTGCGATGTCGTCTCTAAACTGCACTCGCGCAGCTCCCAGTGAGCGTTGCCATAGCGACAGCAACTCGTGACGCGCCAACTGGTCGAAGTAACCAGCGTATACAATGAACGCCGCACCTAACAGCGTATCACCCACAATGGTCTTCATTTGATCCTACGAGAGAAATACAAAAAGTACATGGAAGCATGTGAGAACATATATATATATATAGTGAGAGAGAGAGAGAAATAAAGAGCCACATACACCGCCTCTGACACACGTAGGTACACATTTCAGCATATATACATGTATGTACACACCTCGAACGATGAGCTCTCCACGCCCCATCTCTCCTGCTCGGCAGACAGCGAGTGAAGTAAGCCCTCGCTGCGCGATACCTTAGTCTGGACCGTTGCCATGGTAACCTTCAGCGTCTCGGCCTCGGCAATGAGCAGGGCATATTCGTCCTTGTACTGCTGAATGCTCCTCTCCAGATCAACCACCAGAGCTTCCGTCTCTTGCGCCTGTGTGCGCGTGACTTTGGCTGACTCGGTGAGTGCTCTGAGCTCAGCTCGGAGTGGTTCGATGCGCAGGAGCATATCCGAGTACTTGACTTGGGCCACCACCCACTTCAGCAACGGCCCACACGCGTTGCTGGCACGGTTGGCGTTCTCAAACGTATACTGTGCGCGTGTGTCGAGAGGTGTAGGTGTGTAGGTGTGTAGGTGTGTAGGTGTGGTTGTGTGGGTGTGGGTGTGTGGGTGTGAGAGACATCAGTGAGTGAGTGACGACGTGTGTGGCAACATGTGCGTGTCTCAACAAATTACTGTCGGCGTACAAAAGCATGAGTGAGAATGTACACAAACAGGGTTATAAGAATAGTTATACAAACAAACAGAGTTGTAAGAATACGCAGGGCTAAACAATATGCAGTGGCTATGCTATAGGCAGTGATTAGCGAGGGCAGGTAGTATCTGGCCACTTGGTCAAATGAATGTCCACAGAGGTGTGGCTGTCCCTGTGTTTAGTTGCGTGCGCATGCTTGGCTACATGCACTGGGGGCGAGGCCAGTGTGTATGTGTGTGTGTGCGTGTGTGTGTATGTGCGTGTGTGCGTGCGTGTGTGTGTGTCGTAGTGTGTGTGGTGTGTGCGTGATGGGTAGTGTGTGTGTATGTGTGTGTAGTCGTGTGTGTGTATGTGCGTGTGTGCGTGCGTGTGTGTGTGCGTATGTGTGTGCGTGTGTGCGTATGTGTGTATATATGTGTATGTGCGTGTGTGTGTATGTGCGTGTGTGTGTATGTGCGTGCGTGTGTGTGTGCGTGTGTGCGTGCGTATGTGTGCGTGTGTGTGTGCTTGTGTGTGCGTTTGCGTGATGTTGTATGCAAAATGCAACTGTAAGTTGACAAGAGCACGGCAGGTGGTTAAGCATCCACTGCAAGAAGGCAAATGCAAACACGCACACAGACAATCACAGTTCACTGCGCTGTAACATGCACAAGTACATACATGGCACACATGTTTTTAGGGTTTAAACCCCTATGTGCGTATACACATAAACTCATCTCCAAACATCACACACACAATTACATACATGCACACATGTGTGTGTACACATACGCTCCTCTCCAAACATCACACACACAATTACATACATGCACACATGTGTGTGTACACATACGCTCCTCTTCGAACATACACACACAATTACATACATGCACACATGTACGTGTACACATACGTCGGGGTTGTTGAGATAGCTCTTCTCCAATTTGTTCTTTAATGCGCGCGATATCTGGTCCGTGTCGAAGTTGACTATGCTACTGATGAAGTCATCCCGCACAATCACCTTGCGTACCGCCGTCCAATCAATCACGGTTTCTAAAATAGAACAGGTGGTCAATCACAGTTTCTAAAAATAGAACAGGTGGTCAATCACAGTTTCTAAAAATAGAACAGGTGGTCAATCACGGTTTCTAAAAATAGAACAGGAGGTCGATCACGGTTTCTAAAAATAGAACAGGTGGTCGTAAACGCAAATTAGAATCAGAGGTCACTCATAGACCCGATTGAGCAGAATATGCGGCAGTACACTGTCACCAGTAGTAAGGTGAAGGAATGTCCGTGAACAGGCCCTCGTAACACCAGCGGTCTTGTTTGGCTGTTTTGAGGTGCATTCTGCCCAGTATTGTACTCCAATCCATCATAAGTGCGCACCCACGAACCAAACAAAGCAATCCTTCTTCTGAGGGGACCGTTGGAATGGCCACACCAGATGTCTCAGAAGGTGTGCTGTGGTCCATGCACATACAGACGTACATCCGCCACCCCACACTCCAAAGCACACGCACGACCACATAGACCTCTACACCCACCACCCCACATCACACACTTACCTCCCAGCAGCACGCACACACTCTCCATGGTTAACTTGACCATCGCCGGCGGGTTGTTGAGTGAGCGTATCTCTGACAGCTGCTTCTTGCGGATGCCACTGACGGCCTCGCGTGCCTCAGCCACAGCTGGCTCCACTTGTTCCAGTTCACTCTCCACTTTGTGCGTGCGTTCGCGCACAATGAGCTCCTTCTCGGCCAACTCAGCCTACATTGCGTGCAGAGGTGGCCGAAGGGTTTAGGATTATAGAGTTATATGGTTATAGGGTTAAAGCGTTGAGTTTAGGGTTAAGGGAGTTTAGGGTTTAGCAGGGTTGGCAGCGGTGCGTAAGTGGGAGAGGCTGGTGGTGGTGAGGTGTTTGTGTGACTGGGAGTGTGTCATATGATAGAAACAAGTGCGGGCTATCATATTCCCACTATACGTTAACAGGCACGAGTCATGTGGCAGCCATATGTACCTACGCAAACGTACACCACACTATACATTGACAGGCACGAGTCATGTGGCAGCCATATATACCTACGCACACGTCCAACACACTATACATTGACAGACACTGAGTCAAGTGGTAGCCATATGTACCTACGCACACGTACAACACACTATACATTGACGGGCACGAGTCATGTGGCAGCCATATGTACCTACGCACACGTACACCACACTATAGCGAATGCACGCACCTGCATGGCCACAGACGCCTCCCGTCGCTTCTCGGCCTCGTTTTGATCCAATAGCATTTGCTGCAGCTTGGTCTCTGCCTTTTCATTGGCTGATTTTAACTCGCTGTTTTTGATGGACAGTTGGCCGCGCAGCTCTTCCACCTGTGCTACGGTCTCATCGATCTTCCGTAGACCTATATTAGGAAATGCCACAGTCACATGTCAGTAGGTAGTGATAATAAACAGTCTAATGAGTGGCATCCAATAAACAGTCTCATGAGATGGTTAGGAATGGCTGCTATGCCGCGTCGTGTGTTGTGATGGGCTTGTTCTCCCGCGTGTCACGTGCGCACCGCATCTGCTACCTTTGAGCGCATGCACACACTACGGGGCTGTCAATAGCATCTGCAGCCCACGTGGAGCAAAATTAAAAGCCTAGTTAATAGCTTGGTTAAGCGTGTGGTTGTTCGCGTGATTGACCGTTAACAGCGTGGTTAAACGTGTGGTATATCCCGTGGCTAGCCGCTTGGATAGTCGTTTACCTCATAGTTTGAGTTCTCGATTGGTTCTAAACTCAATTCACCAAACGTCAATAGTTACAATCAACATATGGCGCCAACATACACCGCACGACTGTCACTCGCACCAGCACCACACGCAAGTGCTAACTGTCAGTCGCGTAGCCTTTGGCTTTGTTCTGCAACCCAACCACACACCGATATTCAGGTGCAATCCAACCACACACCGATATTCAGGTGCAACCCAACCACACACCGATATTCAGGTGCAACCCAACCACACACCGATATTCAGGTGCAACCCAACCACACACCGATATTCAGGTGCAACCCAACCACACACCGATATTCAGGTGCAACCCAACCACACACCGATATTCAGGTGCAACCCAACCACACACCGATATTAAGGTGCAACCCAACCACACACCGATATTCAGGTGCAACCCAACCACACACCGATATTCAGGTGCAGCTTCTGGTCCTCGAGTTCGGACCGTTTCTCCACAAACAAGGACACGTAGTGGTTGATGAAGTCCAGAAAGTGGCGTGGGGTGACGACCATAGCTCTACCCTCACTGCGGGCCAACGCATGGCACTTGCGGTCTACGCTCTTGTGCACAGCCACCAGCGCATTGACGATCACTGCAGCGGAGGAGACAGGTGGGTAGGTGGACAAGTGAACAAGTGAAATTTGAAAAAGTGAACAAGTGAACAAGTGAACAAGTGAACAAGTGAATAAGTGAACAAGTGAACAAGTGAACAAGTGAACAAGTGAACAAGTGGACAGGCGGATAGGTGCAAAGGGCGAGAGCTTGTGGCATAGGTGGATGATTGGCCGTGTCTTGATATAGCTACAGGTGGATGATTGGTTATGTCTTGGTATGGTTATAGGTGGATGATTGATTGTGTCTTGGTATGGCTGTAGGTGGATGATTAATTGTGTCTTTGTATGGGTATGTCTTGGTATGGATATAGGTGGATGATTGGCTGTGACTTGGTATGACTATAGGTGGATGATTAGTTGTGTCTTGGTATGGCTGTAGGTGGATGATTGGTTGTGTCTTGGTGTAGCTGTAGGTGGATGATTGGCTGTGTCTTGGTATGGCTATAGGTCGATGGATGGTTGTGTCTGGGTGTGGTTATAGGTGGATGATTGGATATGTCTTGGCATGGCTATAAGTGGATGATTGGTTGTGTCTTGGTATGGCTATAGGTGGATGATTGGCTGTGTCTTGGTATAGCTGTAGGTGGATGATTGGCTGTGTCTTGGTATGGCTATAGGTCGATGGTATGGTTGTGTCTGGGTGTGGTTATAGGTGGATGATT